CCCCAAAACCCCAAAACCCCAAAACCCCAAAACCCCAAAACCCCAAAACCCCAAAACCCCAATTACTTGCAAATCGATTGGTTCAGCAATTTTTAAATAAATTTTGCGTAATTTGGCATTTTTATCAGGTTATCTCCTTCTTTGAAGATTATGATGCTCTTGAGTGTTCTTACTGGATTTGAGCAAAGATTTCTATCAGTTTTAAACTCGTATTTCCTGTATCAAATCTTCAGGAATAAGAGTTTCTTCATAAATAATCTCTTATTTTCTTGGCACATAATCCTGAGGATCTGGCATTATGGGAAAGCTTGCTTAGCAAAGTTAAAATATTATTAATCTAGATTCTCTTTTTGCAATATTTGAGAGAGATGAGGAAAGCAAATAGTTGATGTTTTCCGCCTTGATTTCTCGTATTGGTTACCAAGCTATTGGAAAACAACCCTCAGGACATAAGTATGGCTTGAGCTGACTGAGTGTCGTTTATTCCTAGAGAGTCATAAGCCAATTTAGCTCTTTGAAATTGCATTAATAATCTATTCAAAAATAACTTAAAGTCTTGAAATTTGATGTATTGAGGTCCTATGGTATTTAGATTTTTAATTGAATTGATAGACATATTCTTTGTCCATCCGCATTTTCTATACCTATTAGAGAGATTTATCAGGCCATAACTCAGGAAAATGAATAAAATATTATCAAATCAAGCTCGTTATCACCATAAGTTCAAAAGCAAGTTCCGAGGTCACATCTACTCAAATTGGAAACTGCAAAATCATCCAAAAACTTATAAAGAATGAATATTTGAAAATTTCGCAAATCGACTGAATGCCTAACCTTTTATCCCTTTGTTGGATTGCTGGAAATCTAATAAATCATCATAAACTAATTATTCAGACATTGAAATCTCTCTCATAGACTTTGCATATCATTTCTTGTTATATTGATACCTCATGCGTTAGATTAAAACCTGGAGATACTTTTTAATTTGAAGTGCCATCAGTTTGGTCAAAAGACAAAGTTCTTAGAAATATTAATAGTGCTAGACTACTTGCAGGTAATTATGACAGCTGCTCCAAAAATTGTATATTATGGAGCTTCTGGCTTACTTTTTAGATCTTCATCAAGTCCAAAGAACACCTGGAAACAAAATCTTATGAAAATTAGGATTTTGACAATAGAGGGGAATAATTGTGTCAATAATTCTTGGTTAAAGGACCTTACAAAATATTATAGTAAGGGACCATGCTCTGGAGTACCATAATCCTGTTATTCATCAATGTGTAGAGCTTGCTTTAGGCAGTCTAGTCTCTAGGGTTTAGTATCGAAGTATTTATGGCCAAAAAGCTATGCTGGGAATAAGGTCTAATAATTCAGCAAGACTTGATTGCTTTCTCTTAGCTCTTGGATTTTTAGGGGCTAAAACATCAAAAAGTGGACTGATGAAAGTCTTTTTCGTTAGTTCAAGTCAAATATTCCCAATACGGATTAGATATTCAGCTAAAATTTCCTAAAAATGTTATAATGAGGTGATTTGGATACATAATTAACCAGCAAATGACTGATGAAACTCGAAAATTTTCCTCTTAATTGCCAGACGACATAAAGTCCTGCACTTGGATCAAATAACTCATCTTTTTCATTATAAGCATCCTTCTTACTTCATTCCTTACTCCAACGGTCTGCCTGACTTATACCAAAGATAATGCATTCTGGTACTTTTCAGGTAACCCTTACAAGGTGGTTTAGATTACTCAACTACATCTAGTCACTCACTTAGAACCCTTTGTTCATGAATCTCAGGTATTCCAGAACAAAGTTGCCATCTGGATGTCTGATATCCTCGGATGGACTCTTTCCATCCCTTGTATAAGTTTTTTATTGCTCCAAGACTTCTAAAATTCTTACAGCTAGTTTTTGAGAACATTTACTCTTTACTTATCCAGTTATTCACCTCAAAAACCAAGTTTCAGAGATTCCAGTTGAAACAAAGCATTCCGAACAAAGTTAGCTAGAGCTAGAGGCTCACATTAGGCATTTAGCGATGAAAACTAGACTTCTGCCTCTCTATGCCCTCATTTTCTAGACATTTTCTTCTGTGATAGAGAGCAATATTATTTGGAGAAGTCTTAAGAAATATCTGAACTCAGGAAAACTCCACTGGAGCCACAGCTGCAATGGGATCTAGTTATTATTTGGGCTAGGAAGACCTCTTGGCCACATGATTCATTGCTATTTCAGCGAAAGTGGAGATTTCTTCTGGAAATTTAATCGATATTATTTTTCGAGTTGTACCTGAAATTTTGGAATACCTGAAATAGGAATAATCATCAGTTTGAACGTTTGTCTAACGTCGAATTTTTGAAAAGGAGAAGGGTCACAGAGATAAGTCTCACTATTTGCTTTGCTCTTAGACTTGTTCTGTTTCCATTGAGGCACTAGGAAAGCTGTAAATTTTCTGATTCGAGTTGGACCCTTCAAAATATACGGTAATACTAAAGAAAAATTGCCCTGAACATATTTCACAATAACCTAAATTAGATAGCTCTGAAGTAGAAAAGGATTTATCTGGCCTTCTCTCTGTTTTATCTTGGATGAAGCCTGCATTAAAGCTATATCTTTGCTATTTGAAGCATAGTGTCTCTCTAAATATCGCTCAGATTGCTTAATTATTGACTATATGAGATTACCTAGCTTCTTTACTGAAAAATCTCTGAGCAAGAGAGAGAAGTCTGGCAGACCTTAAATAACAATACTCTCTACCTCGACCTTCTCTAACAGGCGAGAACAGGGTCTAATCATAGGATTATACACTTTTCCTGGTACGGTACTGAATTCATTCAGGTATTGTTCAGGTAAGCTTCGTTTAGTTTCAAGTCAGGTAATCTTCAGGTAATTTCAGGTAGGCTCTGAAAATTTCCACATATAAATTTTGGAAGCCCAGGTAGAATAATCAATAATTAACCATGAATAAAACTAAGCAAAATAAGAGAGCCTACCAACAAATCGACCTCTGGAAGAGGAAGGAACTCATTGATAGCGTCAATAGAAAGGAAGAGACTATGAAGGAGTGTGCCCAAAGACTCGGCATCAATTACTGCACTGCTAAGCATATCATGAAGGTATACAGGAGATCTGGCTCATATGAGACTGATCTCATGAGAAAGAAGAAGCAAAAAGAGCAAACTCTTAAGGAAAGAGTTCTAGGAGAGTTCAACTTTGCTCAAATAGATGCTTCTCAGCAAAAACTTATGCTCCAAGCAAAAGCTGATGACAATAATAGCCATGATAGTACTAGAAATCATCATGATGAGCATGTTCAAAGCCCAAAGCCGATGTATAACTGAGGGTTTGTGGGTCAACAAATGACTCAACCTGATTTATACATGCCAGTTCAGACATTAATGAATCAGAACTATCAGAATCAGCTCAACTTCTGCACTGATTTAAACCATCTCTGAAGCTGCTTGGGAGAAAGAATCTTTCAAAAGTTTAGCTTCTAAGCCCTAACTTATTGTCTATTAATAATCGTTTCATATAAACTATCTTTTTGAGGGGCAAGTCGGACTTTTGTGGGGCCAATGTCTCAATGTGAACTCTCTAAGTTCTCCAAAGGTGAACAAGAATTACACATGAGCCCATATCTAGATTATTTTTGGCTTCACTCATGCTTTGAGGTAGATCAATCGACTTAGAGCAAAACCAGGTGTATTCATTTGGGAATTATAATTTTAGCAGTTGAAAAATAGTGAGGTGGCATCTGTTTATTAATTGAATTTTATTACGAAATTTCAGTATATTTTACCTTCAACGGGGTTTTGGGGTTTTGGGGTTTTGGGGTTTTGGGGTTTTGGGGTTTTGGGG